CAGTGAGTGCAGACAGGCTTTGAACCAGGATCCACTCCATGCACTCACCGCCTCAGGGAACACATGACAGACCCTGGGTGCCAGGAGAGGGAGGGGTTTGGCGCTCAGGGGCAGGGGCTAAGTTGTCCAACAGATTGACCCAGAGGTTCTGCCCCTTCCTGAGCATCACAGCCATTCAACTTCCCCGGGGAGGTCGAGAGGCTGGGCTGGCCTGCATGGGACCAGTGGGGCGGCCACTTTGCCTAAGAGAGGGGCGAGGGTTTGCCCGTGTCAGCGATCACTGCAAAACGCAGAGATGAGAGGTGAGGTAGGTATCACCAGGCCCGTCAGTCAGGCGCATACCTGCAGGGATGGCATCAGCTTGGACTCCTCAGCAACCTAAGACTGACTGGGGACTCAGGGTGTGATAGGGACTGAACGCACCCTCACCTGAGGCTGTACTCCAGGTCACCAGGTGGGACCTGCACGAACCCTACATCACCTGGACTGCAGGTTCCTTCACCCCTGCTGAATACACGCTCTCCTAGGCTGCAGAACCACAGATGTGTGGTAAGGAGAAAAGCAAATAAAGGAGCTGGTTGATGCACTAGACTCAGGCTGGCTATATGTGAGGACTCCGAGGAGGGCAGCCAGGTGGGCAAGGACCTGCTCCACCAGATCCATCTCTGGAGTCTCCATTTATTCCTATACATTCATCAGATACTTGAATGTCACCACATACTGCACCCATAGCAACACGCTAGAGACAGAATATTCGATGCTCAAGGTCCCCATCTACACTCCAAATTAGAATGCATTTTTGTTTCCTTGTTGGCTAGTTGCTTTCTCTACATTATCTCAGGCAGATGAATTTTCTTTTTTTTAACACTCACTTTAGAGCTGCTCCCCTAGCCGCCTTACTGTTTTTGATCATCAGGACTCAACCCCAGGAGATTTGGGCTCAGGGAACACAGCTATTCCTAGCAACTCTATGTGAGAGCTGCTTTTCCCAATTTGAAGATGTAAAAACTGAGGCTTAGGGAAGTTAATAAGCTTCCAGTGTTAAGTTTCCTCCCTCATGGTTTTCAACCTCCTCCTAAAGAGAATCTTTGCCTAAGGCCCCTTTATTGTTATTTTGATTAATAATGAAACTTCTGACGTCTCCCTCAATGTATTGCAGGCTGTTAGTATACTCAAATGTCATTAACACTACTTGAAACTGTAGCAGAAAATGCCTCCCCCGCCAGTATACTTATTTCTGTTAGTTGCCCAGGTAACAATTCCTGTTACAGTTCCTGTTACTTCTGTTTCTTAGAAACAGCCAGTCACTATGATGCATATTGTAAGAACCAATCAATAACTGCAAAATACTCTGCTCCTGTACTTCCTGCCTGCTTATCCCATATAAGCCCCAAACTACCAAGGATCAGGGCTTGACTTTTTTTCTTGAGGTCAGTGCCCACTGACATTAAATAAATTTGCCTCCAAATCCTGTGTGACGTTCCAGTGTGTCAGTTTGCCATTGCAAAAACAGTATACTTTCATACTCTTCACAAGTATATTGTGCTTATTTATCAATGAGACTCAGCTGAACTAACTTACTCAAGAAAGCTGCCTCTGAATTGTCTTTATCGCAAAACTGCTACTTGAGATACAAGAAATGAAAACTAGGTAGAAAGGAGACAAGGAGGGGTAACCCACTCAGGTCCCCCTCTGTCCCTCTCTTGGACAGAAGCTTTCTTTCCCTCAATAAATATATTCTGCTCTTAACCTCCATTGTTCCTAAAATTCATTCTTCGATTTTAGAGAACACAAACTCATCCCAGATATCATTCAGGTTGGGAGTTTTTATCTTCCTGTATCATTTTGGAGTTCCCCACCAAGATCCTTGGACGGAGGTAAGAGTTTGCTTTTGTTTCACAGACTCTGGATCGGGACACGTTTAGGTAACAAATTTTTATGCTTCAAATTCTGTTACGCTTTTGCCTGTTGCTTATAATTGCTTGGGACTCATTTAGGTAACAAATTGTTATGCTTCAAATTGTTACAGATACATCTCAGAGATTCTACTATTTTTCCTAACCAAAGACAATATCCTTTAAAACCTTAAGTTGAAAAAGGGTTATTACCTATAATTGATAACCTAATGGCACAAGCTTACTTGAGCCCTGTAACAGCCCATGCAACACTCCCATCTTGGGAATTCAAAAACCCAGTGGGGAATGGAGATTAGTACAGGACCTTAGATTGATAAATGAGGCAGTAGTGCCAATTCACCTAATGGCACCTAACCCATATACACTCCTTTCTCAAATTCCAGAAGATGCCAGTTGGTTTTCAGTGTTAAGACTTAGAAGATGCTTTCTTTGTATTCCTTTACATAGAGATTCCCAGTGTCTCTTTGCTATTGAAGATCCTCACGACCAGGCCTCTCAACTGACGTGGACAGTGCTTCACCAAGGTTCAGGAATAGTCCACATCTTTTTGGGCAAGTGCCTTCCCATGACTTGGCATGCTTTGAGTTCTCCCAGGTCAAAGTCTTATAGCACGTAGATGACATTCTTTTATGTGTCCACTCAGAAGAGTTCTGCAGCCAAAGGTTATAAGGTCTCTATATCTAAAGCACAACTTTGCAGTCTTGAGGTAAAATATTTAGGCTTCATTATATCCAAGGGAACCTGAAGGCTAGCTAGGAAAGGACAGAATTAAACCAATTCTTTCCTTCCCACAGCCCAAGACCCTAAAACAGCTAAGGGGATTCCTAGGAATTACAGGCTTTTGTCGCCTTTGGATACCAGGATATGGGGAGATTGCAAGACACCTCTATCAACTTATAAGACAGGTCCAAAAGACAGATACCCATATTGTAACCCAGGAACCTGATTCCCAAACAACATTCCAGAAGCTTAAACAAGTTCTCCTAAATGTTCCAGCCCTAAGCCTCCCGACAGGACACCATTTCAATTTATATGCCTATGAGAGGTGAGGTATGGCTTTGGGAGTGCTTACACAGGGATTGGGGACCCACTCAACAGCCTACAGGGTATCTGAGTGAAGAATTAGACATTGTAGCAAAGGGATGGCCTTCTTGCCTTAGAGCTATGGTAGCAGTAGCTCTCTTCGGGCCAGAAGCATCTAAGCTAACTTTAGGTAAAGATCTCACTGTATATACGCTTCACAATGTGGCAGGACTTCTTTTGTCCAAAGGGAGCCTCTGGCTATCAGACAGCTGACTTCTTAAATGCCACACTCTACTTCTAGAAGAACCAGCCATTCAAAGATATGCTCCTCCTTAAACCTGGCTAATGTTTGGCCAGAAAATGAGGAAACTGAGGCTGATAGACATGATTATAAACAGGTAATGCTCCACACATATGCAGCTAGAGAAGACACACCCCTTACTAACCCTGATTTGACCCTTTTCTGTGATGGCAGCTCCTTCATGGAAAATGGGACAGGGAAGGCAGGGTATGCAGTGGTAACTCTACATCGGACTCTTCAAAGTTCCTCACTTACACCTGGAACTAGTGCACAGCTAGTGGAGCTCACAGCTTAGACCTTATCCTCTCTATGGGAGGCCATTACCGGCTCCTCTTGGTGGAAATCTTTGTTGACTATATTCATAATAATCCTGTCGATCTTATTTGGCCCATGCATAGTTAATTGTTTCTGTGGCTGTGTCTCCTCCAGATTTAAAGCTATACACCTACCCAAGATGAGAATGCCTGCTGTCTATTGAGGGCCTTTAGACAGACCCTCTGAAGAGTATCTCTGACTGCCTGTCAACAACTACAACCCCTTTCAGCCTGAAGAAGCCAGAGCGGTCATCGCCCGTTACTCCCTCACAGCAGTTCCGGTTACTTCTTCAGAGTGGGGAATGTTACAGGCAGCTGAGTTAGACAGAAATATTATAAGCAGTCAGACAGGGCCAGGCCCTCCAAGAAGCCAGTATGGAAGACAAGATACCTTACAAATGGAGAGATAGTACTTGCTTCGGGCCAGATCTCAAGACTAAAGATTAAACAAGCACACCCACTTACCTCCCTAGGGATGGACATCACAGCTTGATATGCTAAACAGGTAGCGATCACCTTGAAGAGTCATTGACTCATTACAGGAAAAGCCCCTGTTCTGTATTCAAGCCCGCTTGCAATGTGACTCGCTTCCGCATTTGATCCCAATTTAATCAATTTTACCTGAACAATTCTTATTGGCTAACCATAGTTTTGTTCATTTTTCCCCTACCTTGGACCCACCTCACCTCGTGGTTTTGCTCTATAAATGTCCCAAGAAAAGATGGAATCTTTTCTCCACTCGGGCTCCCCTTCTGTCCCTGTCTTGGACAGAAGCTTTCTTTCCCTCAGTAAATATATTCTGCTCTTAAAAAAAAAAAGAAAAAAAGAAAAAAAAGGAGACAAGGAAATCAAGATTTTAAAAATTACATTTTTAAGAAAAACTGCAGCTTTAGGACATAGCCCAGTATATTTATTTCTTTCTCTTCTCCCAGAACACAGTAAACCTGGGCAACTCCCCTTCACCTACAAATGAACCACCTTTGTAGGACTCCCCATGTTAATGGATTATCTCACTGTGGGTGGGCCATCTTCTCCCACCCACTCGCTAAAACCCAAACTATAGATCAGTGATGGCAAACCTTTTAGAGCTTTCAATGATACAAACAGCCTTTCCAGCAATAGGTTGTCCACTACTGCTATAGATTATCAAATCCCACAGATTTCCACCACCCAAAACACAAAAGATTCCCAGTTCCCAACTACAGCAGTTCCCTGAGCACTCGCACTCTGCTGGAGTGTGTCCTGTATCTCAGCCTAGCCCTTCCTTTGCCCCTTACTGACCTGTCCTGAAAATTCTTTCTCCATGGTGAGTCAGCGAACTCACAAATTTATTCTACAAAAAGCGTGGGTTAAGTTCTTTATTTCAGCCTCAGGGACCCTCAGGCCAGACCAGTGATAATACCGTAGTGCCTCAGTTCATGAATTTAATTTGTTCTATGATTTTGGAAAAGATTGCCAGGTTTGTGAGACAGGGCGAGGACTGTGTTTGTCACCGGAGCAGGTTTGCAAAAATACCACCAAATTTTGCCACCCTTCTGTTTGAAAACAAAGTGTTGGTGAACTGAGGCACCACTGTACTAGATGGATGGGTTTTTATCCATACCAACAGTCCTCCAACTCTTCAGACATCCACTGGTGTCACCAGAGACTCCACGGTGCCAGACTCCATAGGTGTAAAGGCTTGATCCTAAGAGAGGATAAAAGAAATAAAGACAGGTCGAAAGGAGACAAGGAAAACAAATTTTTAAATTATAGTTTTAAGAAAACTGCTGTTGCTGGACATGGTTGCACATGCCTATAATCCCAGCACTCAGGAGGCTGAGGCAGGAGTATCACTGCGAGTTCAAGGCCAGCCTGAAATGCATAGTGAAAAGCTGTCTCAAAAAGGCAAAAAAGAAAGAAAGAAAGAAAGAAAGAAAGAAAGAAAGAAAGAAAGAAAGAAAGAAAGAAAGAAAACTGTTGCTTTAGGACATAATAAAGTTATCCAAGGTTACAATGACTTTTTCCCTTGCAGGAAACTCCCTCCAAAGAAAATTTTTTTTTTTCTAAGGGTCCTCTAAGAAGCCTGTAAAATGGACTACTCCTTGGCTTTCACAGGTTCACCTGTAAATGGAACTTTCCACAGATTCGCAAGTTCCACAGATTTCCAGCCCCACCAAAAACATATAAATCTGTCCAGCCCCAGACTATAGTGGGCTTCACCCTTCAGGAGCCCACAGTCCCTTCTGGGTGTGTACTTGTTAAATTCTGCTTATAAACCTGTCTATGCCCCTCACTGACACATCCTGGGATGCTTTTCTGAGACAAGTCAAGGACTTATTCCGTAGGTGGGTAAAGTAAGGTCATCCTCGAGATGGGGACCTCTTCAGGTCCCATTCAATGACAGTCCCACAAAACTGTCTTTGCTTCATATGCCATTTGTAAATCCTAGATAGCCCGTATAGCCAGGCATGGTGGCACACGCCTGTAATCCCAGCACTTGGGAGGCTAAGGCAGGAGGATCATTGCAAGTTCGAGACCAACCTGGGCTATAAAGTGAGCTCAAGGCCAGCCTAAACTGCACAGCGAGACCCTGTCTCAAAAAAAAAAAAAAACAAAAAATACCTATTTCCTTCACTTGTCTTTTACAAATCCCCTCCCCTCAAGGGATATGATAAATCTATTTTGGGCCGCAGTAAAGAAATAGTGTTTCCATCAATGAACACCTGGTAAGATTTACATACAAACCTCCAGTCTACCTGAAGCACCGCTGGTAGAACACAGTTCACTAGAATGTTTCTGGTATTGGTCAAAAGCTCCTCCGTTTTCCACACTTGCAGAAGGATCCATCACCTCTGCTTTCTGTTTTTTTTCCACGAGCCGGTAATTGATGCTCATGCAGATGAAAAGATATATGCCTGCAAAAATCAGGATTCCACCACATGCCCAGTATGTGTATTTATAGTCTCCATATATGTCACTGAGACGACCTACACAATGTAAAAAACAAAACTATGTGGGTAAAAGTGAATAAGGGTACCTCTTCCCACACAAAGCTTAAGGATCCACTTAAAACAAAGATGTTAATCCAATCTTCAGTGAGCACACAAATGACAAATCAGTACAAAAATGAATTGCTAAAGGTTATCTGATTTTTTATTTATGTTATCTAGCTGCTTTTGGATGGACTGAATACCCTGTTATTTTCAGCAACTTGAAAATAATCAACTCTTGGTAAATTTAAATTAGGAAAGACTTAGAGATCACCTATAATTAATTCTTTCAATACATAATGGAAAAAAGTATTGCTCAAAAGAGGTTCAGAAGTCTTGTCCAAGGGCAGAGCTTGGACAAGTGGGAAAATATTTTCCCACTATTTTTTAAGCTCAATCTCCACAACAGGCAGATTCTACTGTTATGGTCACTGTATAAACATAAAAATTGAAGTACAAAGGCATTTAGTAACTTGTCCAAGGTCACAAAGCTAGTAAGTAAAGTAGCTTAGCTTTAAATGCAGAAGGTCTGACTCTGTGGCCCGTGTCTATAACCACCATGTTATCTAGGAAACCTCTCTAATGTTTCTCATTTTCTCTTAAAGACTTCGTGAGAAAAAAAAAAGGACTTTGTGAAGTCTGGTAGTAAAGAAATCTATTTAGCTTGGTATTTCCAAGCCTTTCTATGGCAATGAAATCCTTATTATAGTAAAATTTACTAGTATCTCTAGGAATTAAATGTTGAAAACTCCATACTTAATACAACCAATCCAAATGTGGTGCCATACGGCTTCCTCTCTCAGGGCATCATTCATCCACCTATATTTGTTGAGCCTCTGTCACATACGAGGTAGTGGCTCTGCCAGGCTCCAAGGATAAGGGTGAGCAAAGGACAGAACATCCACAGTTCAGTGGACTGCAGAGACATTAATCAACCATACAACCTGTGACAAGTGCTACGAGGGGAGCTCTGAAAGCAGGAAACAGGGAGCAGGGACAGTAAGTGGTGTGAGGAAGGTGTCTTCCCTTGAAGAGTCAACTGGGCTGAGCCTCGTGGGAGGACATAATCATCTAAGGGGGTGGAGGGAAGAACAGCAAGCGCATAGGCACCGGGGTAGGAGGAGGGCTGGTGTGTCAGGGGAAGGGCTGGGTTGCTGGAGCAGAGAACAAAAGGCCAGTGGGAGGAAACCAGCCTGGAGAGACAGCTGAGGCCATGCTAAGCCTTGCAAGTCATGTCAGGGAATCTGCTTTTCACTCTAAAGGCAATGGAAAGCAACTGGAGAGGGGTATGAGTCTGAAGAATAGCTGGGGCCAATACAGGTGGACCAGTTAGCAGACGACTGTTAGAAGCAGCCTGAACAGGAGTCAGGAGTTTGGATGAGAGTGGTAGTTGTTAAGGAGAAAAAAGGGCAGATTAGAAAGATTTGGGAAGCCAGGCATGGGGGCGCACACTGTAATCCCAGCACTCAGGAGGCTGAGGCAGGAGGATCCTTGCGAGTTTGAGCCCAGCCTGGGCTACAAAGTGAGCTCAAGGCCAGCCTGAACTGCATAGTGAGACCCTGTCTCAAAAAAGACCAAAAATTAAATAAAAAAAAAAAAAAGAGAAAGATTTGGGAGATGAAATCTAATACGACTTGGTAATTATTGAGTATAGGGATGGGGAAGGGAAGAGGGTCTTCAATAATGGATCTTTTAGTTATGTTCCCTTACAGTACTTTATCACACATCATCTCTAAAGCATGTGTTGCTGGGCATAGTGGCACACGCCTATAAGCTCAGCACTTGGAAGGCTGAGGCAGGAGGGAGTCTGAGGCCAGCCTGCACTACAAAGTGAAACCCTGTCTCAAAAAACCAAGGGGAAAAAAATCAAAAGCACATCTACACAAGGGCCAAATTATTGTAATAATAATTTGTATAATAATAATAATAATAATTTTTAAATGTAAAGAATTTGGTATTCCTACAGAATCCTTTTTTTTGGAGACAAGGATCTTGCTATATACTTCCAGGCTGGCCTTGAACTCACCACATAGTCCAGACAGCCTCAAACTTGAGGTGGTCCTCCTGCTTCCACCTCCCTAATGCTCATTACAGGTGTGCGCCACCAGGCCCAGCCAATCCACCTGGCTTTATAGTCACTAGCTATGTGTTCTCAGGCATGATATTTCACTTTCAGAAGCCTCTATTTCTTCCTTTATACAGGAGGCAATAAGTCTTGCATCATAGGCATAAAGTGACAGGATGTACAGTGATTAAGGACCGTCTCTGGTGCACTGTGACTCTCACCTGATAACTATTATTTAGTATTGAGATGAATTCCTTAATTAAATGAAACCATTATTAGTACATTAAAGGTGGACTTGCACATTACACATCTACCTACAATAAGGTTGTTAGTTTTATAGCCAAAATAATTATTTTTTAAAATACAAAAGTATAATACTTTTGTATGGATGATTTAATTTAATTCTGCAAGTATTGGAGCAATTATGCTGCACCAAATGTTTTCCCAGCACCAGGGCATAAATACGAAAAAGACTTGCTCTCTGCCGAATAGCTCAGAACTCTCTGCTTCCTATCACTGTCCCAATCTTGTCTGCCTGTTCTACGATAACAAAGCCACACAGCAAGGAGACATACTATACCTAAAGTCGGTGCGCCCGTCAGGATAAGAAAGCATTCCACAACAGTCACCAATCCCATAGCACTGGAGAACTTCTGGGGTCCAACGAGATCCATCAGGGTTTCAAACAGTACAGAGCTAAACCACCCAAAGGTAAATCCTAGGAATCCCGCATAGACAGAGAACCCAATATAGCTGGTGGAAAAAGGCAGGACTGTATGACACACACCCATGGCAAAAATTGAAGCAGCAAAAAAATACTGGATTCGAGGTCTTACCCACTTTGTGTTGGCTACAAGTCCCATAGAAGGTCTGGCTACAATATCAACAAAAGACAAAATAGAAAGAAGAAAAGCAGCCTTCTCACTAGCATAATTTTGACTCTTGGCATAACTAGTAAGAAAGACTAAAGGTGTGGACACTGCAAAAACCATTATCATATTACCAGTGAGATACAGAAAAAAGTCTCTGCGCGTGCACAGGGACAAGTCCAGGAATTTATAAATGTTTTGGAAGAACGACAGATTTTCCTCTTTGGGGTTTCCTCCAATGAGATCTGTATTTGCATCACCAGCATCTTGCATTGCATCGGATTTTCCAGCTTCTTTAGCGTGAATCTTTCCTGTCGTGGCTGGCTTGGGCCCTATTGGTCGCATCAGGGATCCAGCTACACAGCAGTTTAGGAGGAGGCCCCCAAGAATTAGGAAGCTTCCTCTCCAGCCAAAGATACCGAAGAAAGCCTGATTGATGGGGGCCAGCGTAGAGAGGAACACAGGGCTGCCTGCCATGGCCAGTCCATTGGCCAATGGTCGCTTCTTGTAGAAATACTTGCCAATCATGGTCAGAGCTGGATTCAAGTTGAAGGCAAGTCCAAGACCTAGGAGGGAAGGAGAAAAACTACACACGTAATAAATTCCAGACATATATTTGGTATTAATTAACTAGACAAGGAAACTGAATGGAAACAAAAGTCATTATGACAGTGAGAGGCCATTATAATGAGTAGATCAGTAGATGGACTATTACCAAATAGAGACAAGTCTCTATGTAGCAAATACTAGAGGTATGCTATAACATTAAAATGATTCTTTTCACTTATTTTTCTTTTTGAGACAGGGTCTTGCTACACAGTTCAGGCTGGCCTTAAGCTCACTTTGTAACCCAGGCTAGTCTTGAACTTGAAATGATCCTCCTGCCTCAGCTTCCTGAGTGCTGGGATCACAGGTGTGTGCCACCATACCTGGCTCTTTTCACTTTAACAGCCAAAGAATAATAAATGTTAAGAGCTTATATTTTCTTCCATAATATTAACTTTCCTGAGGAACAGGGAATTGAAAAAAAAGAGGAAAGCAAACTAATCTTATAAATGTAGATTATAATCTTATAATCTTATAACTTATAAATCTTATAAATGAGCAAGTGAAAACGTTTTTGGACAGTAAAACCACAAAATTGATCAGGCGTGGTAGTACACTCTGGGAGGCTTCAGCAGGAAGATCACAAGTTCAAGCCCAGCCTGGGCAACTTAGTAACTTAGCAAGACCCTGTTTCAAAATAAAAAATGGTTGGGGAGTAGGTCAGTGAGGAGGCCATAGGTTTAATTCTGTACTACAAAAAATAAAACAAAACAAAAGAAAACAAACCAATCACAAACAAAAACCACAACATTGTCAAAGATACTACCCCCGTAAATCTATTAATTTAATTCAATTTCTGTGAATATGTCAATGTACTTTATTTTTCAAATGACGTAAAATGATGAAACAGACCTGGAGAGTAAACACATTAAAAGTGTTTGAAAGGAATAAATACAGTTGTCCCTCACTATATCATGGTTCATTTATTGTGGCTTCACTATACCACGGGTTTTTTAAAAGAAATATATCTAATTCAGTATTGCAGTTTTCACTGTATCATGGGATTTTGCAGTATTTAGGTATTAATAGTTATGATTTTAATTATTTTTGCCTAAAAGATTTAGAATATAAAAATATAAAAAGTTAATTCAAACATGTTAAAAGAACATTAAACAAAAATAAAATACAGTTTGTATTTCATCAGCAGATGAATACCGTACTGTACACAATGGAAATGCAGTACGCCACTACCATTTGCACAAGTCTGCCAACTTGAGATCGTACACAGCACACTATTGGCTGATGGAATGCAAGGTGACCAACCACAGCACTGTGCTCTATATCCTGGGCACTGATTGGCTCAGTGACTGTAGCATCTGTGCCCATATGTTCAGCATCTCCCCTTGCTCTTCTTGGCTGTGCAGTAGTACATTCATCTCATCGTCATCACCTTCATCGCCATCAGTACTGCACAGCACATAATTAATGATCTTCGGCATTCAAGTTGTAGTATACTTCACTGGTGAGCACCCATACACAACTTTACATGTTGTTAAAATTACATAGGTTTAAGAGTGTAGAAAGTGTTTAAGAATATACAAAGTGTTTATAAGAGTGTGGGAAAGGTTAATAAGAGAGTGGGAAAGGTTTATAAGAGTGTGGGAAAGGTTTATAAAGCCTTAAAATATATATAAATAATAAAATAAATATAATGCCACTACTTTGAAGATTTTCACCTATCACAGGTGTCTCTGGAACATAACTCCCGCAATAGGTGAGAGATCACTGTAATTGTTGGGACTGACTGTAACAGATAATAGAAACTCTTTCAACTCATCCATTCAACAATCAGGCCAATTAAGAGCCAGAACTTTCTTTAAATTTTGGTACTCTTAAATTAATATATCTAAGCTCTTAAAAACAACAGTAATTTTGCTAATGAGGGAGTTTTTATTCTCAAAAGAATTGTTAGATAAATGTTACAAATAGTCTACAAAACCCCAGCACTCGAGAGGGTGAGGTTCACTGCAAGTTCAAGGCCAGCCTGGACTACACAGTGAGTTCAAGGTAGCCTGAACTATAATGAGTCCCTGTCTCAAAAGAAAAACCAAAAAATTTTAGAAAAACAAATAGTCCACAAAAAAATTAATGCTTAGAAATGAATCTGTAGCAAGCTGTGGATGGTGGTGCATATCTGTAATCCCAGCCCTCAGGAAGCTGAGGCAAAAGGACTGAGTTTAAGGCCAGTCTGAACTACATCATAGTGAAACTCTAGACAAAAAAAAAAAAAAAAGAATTAGCAGCAACTCACCTCCAATGACTCCAATACACAAGTAAAGTTGCCACAAACTGCTAGAGAAAGAAGCTGCAATCAAGCCACAGCTTGATAAGCAGCCGCCAACAATCATGACCAGGCGGCTGCCATATTTATTGACCAGAATACTGCTGATAGGTCCTAGGAAACAACAAACACCTTAGTGATAATGTAGTGAAGCATGCTCCTCACCTCCACCCTAGGCATTACTGATAAGAAAGGGTGCCAAGCCAGAAATTTCCCACCCTCACAATCAACAAATAAAACACAAAGCTATGTGAGAAATGTTGTTTTCTATCATTAAAGTCACAAGCTTGTGTAACGAAAAAATAGCACTGATTATACATCTTCTATACATGTAGTCCATATTAGTAGATGGATTTTAAGTAAGATGACAAGACCTAATCTACCTCTTATAAGGCAGAATAGCTGCATTTTCCAAATTTGAAGTGTAGGGCTTCTTCATGTATTTAAAATATTATTAAAACATATGTAACAAGTTCATTCTATTTTTAATTTTTTAGCTGGACATGTGGAACAAAGACATTTGAATATGATGTAATGTATCAACAAATTGGGCTGGGGATATAGCTCACCGGCGTGGTGCCTGACTGGCAAGTGTGAGGTACTAAATTCGATTCCCGGTTCCCCCAAAAAATGAATCAACAAATCTGACACCACTTGTGACTTTAGAACATATTTACAAGTTAGCTAAGATGTGTTTTGTTTCCCAAAGAAAACAACAGTAACAAAACAGAAACAAAACTATAAAATAAGTGCCTACCAGTACTACTTTTCTTCAACATACTGAAGTCCAAGACAGCTCAGTTAAGACGGGGAAAAAAAAGGTGTGAGGAAAGGAAGAAACTAAATTATCAGTATTTGCAGAAGACATTTTGCATATCTACAATTTTTGACAGAATCTACCAAACTACCAGAAACAAGAGTTTAGCAATGTACAGGATATATGATTAAACTCCAAAAATCAATTGCCTTTCTACACATTTGTGAAAGTAAAAAAAGAAAATTTTTTTTGACATTGCTGGAGATAGAATCCAGGGCCTTATACATTCATGCATGGTAAGCAAGTTACCACTGAGCCACATTCCCAGCCCTGAAAACATATGTTAAAGTAAATTATGTTTTGTAATGACGCTTGTTATATACTGTTATAACCTAAGAGAGAACACAGTTGCTCTATAGCTTTTGATAAAAATAATGAAAAATATGACTCCAATCACATAGCTTCAAGAATTAACATTCAGAATACCTCACTGATAAAGGCATCACAAAAAGGAAGTACTTACCACAGAGCTTTTGAATGCTTACTGAAAGTTAAAAGAGCTGGTCTTAGTGGCTACTTACCGCAACCATACATGACAGCAGTCATGGTGGAGGTTATCCATGACACTTCACTGGTGCTGGCATTAAACACACCTTCAATTTCTTTGTAAAATACAGAAATAGACCTGCCAAATGCATTAGAGAAGCCAATGGAAATGAAAGCTGCAATAACCACTGCCCAACCCCAGCCTCCATCTGGGGGAGTGTATTCAACTGGATCTCTGTTTGACCATGCCATTGTAAGGAAAGACGAATTCCAAAGTGCAGCTTAAATCCAAGTATCTGAAAGATATGAAAATAAACAACACATAACAAGTACTCATAACAAACTGCAGTACTCCCATAAAACCTCTAACTCTTATGTTACAAATAACTAAATTGCTTCTCAATGTTACTTGTCCCCCATAAATATAGCATTAAAACAGTCTAAGGGTAATGATATTGCTCATTAAACACTTCCTATCACTTCAACTGTACACCAAAATCCTTTTCAATAAATGTAATATTTTGCTTCAAGTTTATAAGCACACCTATTTTAATAATTGACACCAGAGGGAGCTGCGGGTGGGGAG